TTGCATTTCGCGCATTGACGCATTAATTGGATTATAACTTTTTTAATTCTGATTTTATCCTAACTTGTAATATACTATTTTAAAGGTGATTAAATGAGTTACAACTTTCTCTATCATAAATTTTACCGTAACTTCTCTTATTTTGAAACGGCGAAGGGATAAAGGGCTCGAAAGACACTCCGGTTGAACAGCCGCGCACTCTTTAAACAATTAGAACTCTATCAATATTTGTGTAACAAAAAAATAATAAAAAGCAATAATTAGTCAGAAAAATACCTTGAATTTTCATATATATACTTTTATACGTATTCTTTTAGAGATATTATAATGAGAAATTGGTTGTTTTTTTTAATGGATTTTTTTTATGAAATCATGAGTTTTTTGAAAATCGTTTGTACTAATGTTATGGTATTTTCTAGAATCCATCAAAATCTTTCAAACCAAGTTAATTCTAGATGGAAAACGATTATTTTTAATTTTGATGGAAATGGACTATTTGATTTACTCACTCATAAACTATTTGATTTAAATGAAAAAAAAAACATTGGATGCGTCTTTTAATTGCATGATAGCTCACTCATTTTACACGCAGAAGTACTTCTTTTAAAGCTTATTTTGAGAACTATAAAAACCCATTTTCATAATTAACTTAATATTGTTCCTAGAACACTGTAAAATAGCGATTTATTCGGATTTTAATTGATATAATTTTGTTCATTACATGATTTTCGTAAAAATGTATATTTTTGAAGATATTAGCAAAAAACGATGAAAAACGCAAAAAACAAACAAATTTTCAGTAGCCAGTAACTTGAAAAATATTTGCTTTTTTGAAAAACATTATTAAACATTTTTATCTTATAATTAGTTCTTTTATCCACACCCAACGTTATTACACCACTGAAAAGAAATGGCATCCCCCCGGGTAGTGCAAAGGAGTCTAAATTGTTTTCACTTTTGAACTTGAGAGTAAGATGAGCCTAATTCCAAAATTCCAAACGAATTGGAAAACAGTAAGGAAAAGTTCAGACCCAAAGCGCTCCATTGAGTAAATATTCCGTACAAAATGCCAACCATATGAAATTTTGACACAATGAAATTTCTAAATAATTTTTTGAATAAGTAATTTTTTTTGTATTGTGACTTAGTATAGTAAGGCAAAACGACTGCAAATTGAATACTTTTGAGCGCAATCACTTATGGCTCGTCTCCTTTGCACGAGTTCGAACGGCGAATCTGTTCGCAAAGTGCGCAAACAAAATTATTGCAAGCAAAAGCAAACCACGCGTACGTGGAGAACACGATTCGCCGTGCGCGTCAGTCGCATGCGCAGACTGTCAGACGCATATTATATTATTTGCATCTTATATTATTTTAATTATGGCACATCTCAGCTGCTTTTCGACAATAATAATGTAGACATTACATTTTCTTTATTTTTAATCATGAATTTATTATATTTTAATATGCCATAGCCTGTAAGTGAATAGAAATGTTTGGCAAATGACAGTTATCATTTGTTTTTAATGTCAAACCATGCCTTAAATATTTTAAAGGTCAAACAATGATAAACGGTTTTTTGTAATTTTTTTCATTTATTTCTACAATCTAACTATATTTCTATGAATCAAAACATTCTAGAAAATTTCCCGAACAAACTTCAGGAAGATTCATGAAAATCCGAATTATAGTTTAGGAGGATTAATGAAACTTATATTGTTACAGAAGAATTTTATATATAAGATATCAAAACATCACCTTATCTGAATGAAGCGTGTATTTTATTATTTTATTATTTTACTAAAAACATATGTTTGCCAGTCTTTTTACGCTTTCGCAAAAATTGTAAACACAATTCATTCAGTATTTAGACGTTAGTTAATCTGTACACACTAGAATGTAACCAAAAATCGTCAAAAATAATATAAAGATAAATAAAGTATTTCAAAACCACTTTAGTTTTTTTTTACTTGATGTAACTGCACGAATCTAAATAACTCATCAAAATATATATCAACACCAAACTTCATATATATATATATATATATATATATATATATACTAGCCGACCTGACAGACTTCGTCCTGTCAAAAAAATTTGTAATGTGGCGATGTTTTGTTCCTACCTTTTTTCTATTCTTTGCAAAAAATTACCCTGGACAGAACCGTCACCCTGGTAATAATTCGGTGTGAATTAAAAATAATTAAATAAAATACTATAAGCATTTAAAAGTAAGTAATTTTAATCATGTAAATCATAATTCAAAAATCAGTTCAATTTTTATTGTAGTGCCTTGTGATAAACGATGTTTTTTGTTTGATTACCTGGCGCATAGACAAACAAATCTGATGGTTTTCCAATACGGGAACAGACAACATACAATTTTCCATGTGAAAAACATGGGTTTTCCAAATTAATACCACAAACACTTAATGATACCATAAACCCACTGGAAACTGTAGTCGTTTAATCTCAAATGGCACATCAGTCGGAATCATTGGGATGCACGGTTCGAGAAAATCTTCTGCTTTATACTATATCCTTTCAATATAGTTGCTTCCATCACGTTGTTTGGTAGTTTTTTTAAGTTTTTAGTTAAAGGCGCGGTTGGTCGATATTTCGCAATATTATAATTGCCAATCCAACCTTTAATTGAAGATTGTGGGGTGACAATCCTAGCAAATCCAGCGAGTTTAAAAACTCCGGTGGATCGTCTTGGTTAGTTGCCGAATCAATAACTGATTCGCCTATAATTTTTTCTTGAATTTTGAAATTTTATTCATTTACATCAATGTTTTTGCCTGCCAATATAGCTCGTTAATTAATAGAAATATATTTATATGTTTATATAAATATATCAAAAATTAGATTATCAAAAACTACACAAAATGCCATGACATAGATCATTGTTTTTTCTACAAATTTCGTTGCCTACTCGATTAAAAAAAAGGGCTGTTTTTAGGGTTTTCCCGGCAATTATTCGATTTTTTCTCGCCGTAAGAACCATCCTTGGACATGAACAAACATTTTAAAAAAAAAATTGGCCAAATTGGTCCAGGCGTTGTTGAGTTATGCGCTTACCAACACATTTTGCGATCCATTTTTATATATAAGATATTTTGTTATATATATATATATATATATATATATATATATATATATATATGTTTCATGTTATACAATATGTTTCAACGTCGAATATATATATATATATATATATATATATATATATATTATATTTAAAATTTCTCGAATTTCATTGCGGTACGGAAAGTTCCAGTAATTTGCCTTAATGCACGATGCTATGCGCCCCACTAGTTGATTTTAATTTTCAATTCTGGTACTGAAAGTAATACTTAGCAATTTGACTTAGGACACGATGCCATGCGCCACTTGTTTTTCTTGTTAACTTGTCGAAGGAGAAGTTTATGTTTTCATCAAAAAATTCGACTCGCTAATTTTATATTTTCTCGACGTTTCAAGCCATTCTGAATCGAATGAGACCAAATTTGGAAAAAGTATGTATGTGTACGTGTGTGTGTGTGCGTGTGTGTGTGAATAGATTTTTTGCCGCAAATCGACCTTTTCTACAAAAACGGCTGGACCGATTTCAAAAATTTAGAAGCCATTCGATGTATCTCGATGAGGACTATCGTTTGTCAGTTTCGGGCTACGATCGGTGGAGCCGTTTCTTTGAAAATCACAGCAAAGTGAAAAAAAAATCGTGCACGTTTTAGCCCACAATTCTGAAAACTCAAAAACCGTTCGAAAGATGTTGATTGGAAATCATGCTGATTAGTTTTTGGTAAAGATCGGCCGGGCCGTTTTTTTGTAATAAAGTTTTTAAAAAGAAAAATTTCGACGACTTTTATGATTTTTTTTTTTGACGGTAGATACCATAGTCTTGTAGATCATACTAAAATATTTCGGCCCTACGACAAGTCGTTTAATTTTAAAAATTAGTATCGTTTTTTGGCATTTGTCAAAATTAGACCTTTGATCGACGTTTTCTCAAAAACGCCTTAACCGATTTCAGAAATTTAAAAGCCATTTGATGTATCTCAATGGGGACTATCGCTTGTCAGTTTTGGGAGACGATCTGCTGAGCCGTTTTTTTTTTTGTAATTTGAGAAAGAGTGTTAAATTTTTCGTCCACATTTAAGCTCATACCTACTACCGAATCGATTTTAAAAAATCAAAAACTGTTCGAAAGATATTAGTTGGGAATGATACTGATTAGGTTTAGGTCAAAATCTACCGAGCCGTTTTCTTGTAATTAACTGTTGAAAAGAAAATTAAGCTATGGAACTTTTTTTGGCGATATATATCACGGTCTTATAGAACCATGCTTGATAAAATATTACGGCCTTACGACAAGTAGTTTAATTTAAAAAATTCATCAAAGTTTGAGAAAATGAGTAGTTTTTTTGACGTTGGTTACAATTATAATTAGGCGATTGATTTGGTATAACGATAGACTACTTGATCTAAATTAAATGAACATACTAAACCATTAAATTCCTACGGAAACTGGTTCAATTGTAAAAATTATTGATTTGTAAAAATTTGCTTTTAGAAAATAAGTGATGTGTAATTAATCCACTCGGAATACTTTTAATCACTCAAAAATTAATTTATTTTTTATTGATTAAGTCGATTATTTACACATTTCGGGAAGTTCATGTAACTTGCCTCAAGGCAAAATACGACTACCAACTAGTTTTTCTCTGCTATGTGCATAGCACCATCGACTGGCTTGTTTTCTCGGCTGTATAGCGTTTAGTATTCGAATATGAAGCTTGCGCAGTATTCGTGTTCCGTATGAGTCGCAAGCGTAATTTCCCGCGATCCCAACATGATGTATCTCGAGCTAGCCTAGTTCAATTTTGGCCCCTCTCCGAAAAACATCACTAATAGATTTGCATTCGTTGCGTGCAATAAATCGCTTCGAGCGGGATTATTAGTGCTAATAGATAAACATAACTCCCAAAACAAATACATTGTATATTGGAAATACGTACGTCTGCTTTAGAATAGTTGATCTAAAAAAGTTGTGAGATCACGCGCAAAGCGCAGTGGCCGTTCTGCTATATACAAGTTAGTGTTTTGAAAAGGACAATTGTAAACAAAGGTATGTAAAATTTTATATACGTAGTTATGGCAATTGGCATACATGTAAATATATATATATATATATATATATATATATTTAAATATATATATATATATATATAATATATATATATATATATATATATATATATATATTAGGGTGGTCCTTAATATGGACATTTTCGAATTTCCTTGGTCCAAATTGATAAAAAGCAATTCTCTCAAAGTTTTAGCTCTTAATACTATTTTTTGGATAGTGCGCAATTCAATCAAATTTTTGTATGATAATAGCATGAAAAATTGTTCAAATATTTTAAAAATGCTTTAAGATATAATTTAGCAAACAAATGAATGAATTTTATTCAAAATTTGTCGCTAAGTTATACCTAAACTCTTTTTTTTTAATTCTCAAATTTTTTTTGTGCTATTTCCATGCTAAGTTTGATAGAATTGCGCACTATCTAAAAGTTAATATTAAAAGCTAAAACTTTCAGAGAATTATTTTTTATCAATTTGGAATCATTTGAGCCCTTGGGAGCAAAAAAATTCGAAACTGTGCATATTAAGGACCACCCTAATATATATATATATATATACATATATATATATATATATATATATATATATATAAATATCTTAACAGGCATCCATCCAGCTAATAAAATAGAAATAAAACTAAAAAAAAAGTTAAAACAATTTTATCGATCCATACGTTTCAAGACCCAATTTGACTTTTCCCCGAAACAAAACAAGCATGTTTCTTCGCAAAAAATAAGTTATTGAACTTCACATTTTATTTTTACTTTGCACTTATTTTTGCGAAGTAATAATTTTTATAACAAGATATTTTTTTTGTTTTTGTATTAATTACTTCTGTGTCAAAAGTGAAACTCGAAACGTATAGATCTATTAAGTTCAATTCAAAAAACATTTCTAAGTTTTCATTTTATTTTATTATCTGATAGATGTCTGTTAAACAGTTTTTTTTTATCACGTATTTATATATTTAATTATTTACTATATACAGTTTAGGTTTAACAGGACAGCTCATAGATCATCAATTTTAATTTTCAAAAAATGAGCAATAATTTTTTTCTTAGTTTTATTTCAATAATCTAAAGGTTAATACTTCACTTTTTCAAATTTTCAAATAATTAAAAAAGTTTCAATTTATGACTAAAATTGTACAAGCGAGAAACCCCAAAATGTAAAAAATAATTAAATGTAAAAAATATTAATAGATGATTATTAATAGATAATTCTTTTAGTTCAAGAAAATAAAATCATAATATATATATATATATATATGGAAAAATTAAATTTGTATGTGAGTATAATCTATAATAAAATATCCGCAATATTTTCATATAAAATACATGAAATTTCTAATTCCTATTTTTTGAACATACGGTATTTTGGACTGTGGGAAATATATAATAAAAAGTTTGGCATTTGGTTTATTCTTAAATAAGAACAAAATTGGATGATATAAAATTATAATAAAATTTTCAAATGTTTCTTGACTTTTGTTCGTACTCAGTGCTATAATAAAAAAAAATGTGTTTGTGTATTTCGTATTGCATCTGAAGAATCCTTACTTTAATCTATCACCTCGTTTAATTATTTAATCGTATAACCTCATTTAAACAAAAGAATAAATGGTTGTTTTAATATATTTATTTGTATGTATTTAATGTATTTATTTGTATATATTTATTTGTAAATATTGTTGTGCATATATAAATATTATAACGTGTATGTATAGCTTTACTAGCATTACATTTACGCAAAATCTTTAGCTAACTCTATTACTTTTGAATTAGAGCTACTTTTGGTTAGCTCTATTATGTCTACTAAAAACTACTTTTTCATATATTAGTTTAAAATTATTCAGTTAATATTACGTCTTACATTTGAATTCATGAAATATGTAAAAAATAACACATCAGTCATTAGGGAATTATTTAAATTCCTTAGATTTTATCACTGCATTTTCTTAATATCGAGAGCGCCTGCGCGATTCAAGTTATATTTGCTTTTAAATGGCATCATACGGTTCACACATTACTTCAATGACAGCAAATATACAATTTCGAATTCACATTTCTATTATAAGCGTAAATATTCTATACTTACATATAATGTCATAATTAAACTAGTGGGGTGTATGGCAACGTGCCTTAAGGCAAATTGCTAGAACTTCCCGTACCGTAACAAAATGTTCAAGAAATATTGAATGTTTTCAAATAGATTATTAAAAATATTATAACATTGTCTAATATTTAAACGGAACTGAAATTATTTGTTCAAAGTATATTAGAACTTTAATCAGAATTAAAAATAAAATCTGAATTATTTTCGATATACAAAAAAAAAATTTTTTTTAAACAATTTTTTTTTCCAAAATTAATTATTTTGTTAAAACAAGCAGAAAGTTCTTTGAATCATTTAAATCGAACGCTTAGTTCTCTCAAAAACTGCAATTTTTTGCATATTTAGCTCTGTACCTTCGAAATGGCTGAGTCTGCCTTTGCCAAAAACTAATAACCACTTCTCCCAATCATTACTAATTGAATGTTTTTTACATCATTCAAATCGGATACTCCGTTCTCTCAAAAACTCGATTTCTATTTTCTGCACTCTTTGCTCCGTATCTCCGAAACGGCTGGACCTGCGTTTGCCAAAAACTAATCAGCTCTTCTCCCTATCAATAGGAATCGAATGTTTTTTGAACCATTCAAATCGGTTGATTCGCGCGCCCGAAAACGTGGACGAAATTTTGTATCCATACATACATGCACACACACACACACACACATCCATTTTTTCTGAGGTATGCCAAAATTTTTTAGTTTTTAATCCAGATTCTACGGAAGTTATTTTCATTTTTATAATTAAAAATGATTTTAAGTAATTATACTATCTAAGCCAACTTTACTACATCACAGCCGATGATGCGCATCAAACAAGCAACAGTGCTTTTCATTGTTTTTTCTGAAATTTATCATCTTTCTTTTCACCCCATGGACTGGGTAAAAAGGCACAACCAGGCGGCAAACAGATCCAACGTTGAATTTTAAATTTAAAGGGATTTTGCAAAATAATTGCTACATGATTCAACCAATGTAAAACATTAATTTTCTGGACACATATTTCACAAAGATAACACTGAATATAACCTTGATCTGGTATTTCGTCAAAAATATTCATCAGCAGCATCATTGCTTTTTTAACATAATTCACTTTTTTATTTACAATGTTCTTATCGTTCACAAGTTTGCCAGAGTAATGTTTCAGTTGTTCATTTTTACCTCACCCATATGTAAGCTTTTATAGAATTATATGAAAAAGTATGTTGAATTTAACTTAAAAGTAACAATTCAATTTGCAAAACAATTAAATTTCGTATACTTAAAAATTATGTTAAGTAAACTAAACGTGCATGACAACGTGCCTTAAGGCAAATTGTTTGAACTTCCCGTACCGAAAACTAATTTATTAAAAAAAACTTTGCAAAACTTTGAAAAAATTAGATTTTTGAGAAATTTTATAATTTTTGAAAAAATGACATTTTTGAAATATTTGGTTTTGTATTTTGATTTTTTTTAAATTTTGAACTTAAAGAATTTAAAGTCGAAAAGTCGTCTAACCTGTAAACATTGGTACGAAACCCATATAAATGTACACAAAATTTGTACTTATTATATTATTATAATCTTTATAATATATATGATAATACGATGTACAGTCTAATGTTCATTTTTGATCGCCAAATGGCATTATTTTTTACTTTTTTTATTGGATCTCCGGAGACGCTAAACCTGTCTCTACAAAAAAATTCCAGTTGTTTGTTTCGTCAAAACAAGTTAAATGTTTTTCGAATTATTTAGATAAGACTCTCCGTTATCTTAAAAACTGAAATACCATTTTTGTTTCAACTAATCAGCACGTCTCCTTATCAGTAGAAATCGAATGTTTTTTAAATTATTCAAATCGGTTGATCCGTGTTCCCAAAATCGTCAACCAAAATTTGTATCCACCCGCACACATACATGCACACGCGCACACACACACATACATACATCAATTATTTCTAAGGTATGCCAAAATGTTCAGAAACTTCTGAAACGTAAATATATATAAAAAAATTATTTTCGATTTTTCTGCGATTACTACAACTTACCCTACGGAAAGTTAATAACAGAGCTCACAACCAAAAAAACTAAAAACAAAAAAAAAAAATATTATAGATTTTCAAAATTGGCCGTTTATCTTCTGATAGTTGCATTAAAGCAACTGGTTACACATATTTTGCCCTCTACTTTCAAACGTTGTTGTTGAAAAATTCCTAACTATACTTGTTTTTGAGATATTGGTTGTGGGCCTTTTCACCCACGGACCCTTAAGCCCCGCTTTACCCTATTTAAATTAGTATCATTTTTCTATCTGTCATTTTAATCTACATATTTTGTTTATTCGGTAATAGCTGACCGATTAATAATGAAGCCTTGCGAAACGATTGATTGAATATGTACAATTACCAGATAAATTAACCACTTAAATAATTTTAAAGTTATTTAAGATAAAAAAGATGCGTTTTTAAACAACCTCGAAAAAGATATCATTACTCATTTTTATCCACTAATTATCTTTCGATTTGGGTTATTTTCTTCTTATTTCTAAATCTAACCTTAATTAACCTTATTCATATAATATATGTAATTTCGGTATGAATAATTTTATCATTAATCAAATCTATACTTAAACGATAAATCTTTAAATAACAAATCCAATGAGTGTAAAAAATATCAACATAAATTTGAAAACTATTATATAATTAGATAGGCTAAATAGTTTTATATGCAGAACGCATTTTTTATGGCAATACTTGTTACCAACAAAAAGTGCATTCACTAGACATTGATATTGTTAATTATCTTCTTCTTCTATATATATAAAAATAAGTCGGGTTTTCCTTCCTGAACTCCAGAACGCACGAACCGATTTCGACAATTTTGC